AAAAGAGACAGTGAAATTAATTTTAATAATGTATTTTATTTAACCCAATATATTAAAAATTTTATCATTTCAACATGTAATCAATATTAAAATTATTAATGGGTGATTTTATGTTCTTTTTAAAAATTATTTTTACTAGGTCTTCAAAATCTGGTGTGTATTTTACAGTTATAGCACATCTTAATTTGGACTAGCCACAATTAAAGTGCTCAGTAACCACATGTGGCCAGTAGCTACATATTGGACAGTGCAGTTATAGACATTCTTCTCTCACTTACTTCTGGAAACATTCTCTCCTGGCCCTTCTACCTTTCCATCCATTCCTTCTCAGTGTTCCATCTTCCAGCCCCTCCCGTGCTGTTGATCCTCAGGATTTCGACTTTGCCCATCCTCTCTTTTTGCCGTAAATCCTCTCCCTAATTAACCTCCATTTATCCTACCCTGATTGGATACCCTGGCTGATGATTCTCAAGGCCATATCTCTGAGTCCCACCTCTCAGGTGAACTTGTGACTAATATAGCCAACCCACGGACGTGCAATGCTTGACATGCCAAACTGAACTCATCATCCTTCTTCATAAATCTTTTCCTCTTGTCTCGGTCAATGGTGCCACCATCCACCCAGATGCCAAGCAGAAAACTGGTCTTCCACTTGCACTGCTCCTCCTCCTTCATCCCCTAGAGCCAATCAGTTACAAAGTCCTTGAAGTCTACTTCACCAATATTTCTCCAAGTATGCACTTGTTTCCTTCTCCACAACCACTGCTTTAGTCAAGATCTTCATCATCCGTCCCTTGGATTATTGCAGTGGCCTCTTCAATAGTCTGCCCACCTTTACTCATAGTTCCCTCCGCTCTATCCTTTATGCCCTCAAAATTTTTTATGGCCAAATAATTTGATATTTACCTATAATGGCCAAGTCTTGAACTATATCTCCATTTTTTTTTTTAAGGGTTGTATTATAGGCATCAGCCAAGAGCATTTTCAAGATGGCAGGCTTCTCTCAGGGCATCCCATAGTTCTCCTGCTTGACTTTCTTCCACTCCACTTCACCACTGAGCAGCTCTACTGTTGGTTCTGGAAGGCTTAGGAATACATTTAACAGAATCCAGTTCCTCTTGTTTCGATAATAGAGAGCCCCCATGGCTTTGGAGACTTTTCCTAAACCTGGACGTATACTAGAGCAGTGGTTGTTAATCTCTCTTTCTCGCATCACAGACATCTCTGAAAACCTGATCAAGGCATGCCTCCTTTCCCCAGAAAAATGCACATGTGCAAACACAATTTGGCACGAGTGTCAGGAGGTTCACCGAGTCCCTGAAGCCCATCCGTGGAGTGATAGATAGATACTTCTAAAATAGTGCTTGGGTCGTCTACTGGTCCCTACCTAAAACCAGGGTCAGGAGTAGCTTGGCTTCCCAAGACATTTCGAAAACTCTTAGAGCATTTTGTGGCACATTTTGGAATCTGAAGAAAGCTATGTTTCCTCCAAGGACACTTTGAACATTGTCTGACTAACAACACTAAAAACAATTCCAAACTTGCATTTCTTGGCTAAATGTAGCTGAGTTTCTCCCCACCCACACCCGTCTTTATAGAAGCTGCTTGGAACAACTTTGTTTCTCTCTGGCTTTCTGAGCCTTTTCCCCAGTTGGCTTTCACATTGCCCCCATCTCAGGTCTGTGACTGACTTTCGTAACCTCCTGAGTCACTTCAGAAGCTTCCCTAAGAGCATTGGCTCTGAACTCTCTCGTGCGCATCTCAGGTCATTGTGTGCTCTGCTCCAACCCTTGTTTTGCCAGCCTAATACCCAGGGAGGGGACAAGGAGGGGCAAACACCCAGGCACTGGCCACCCTTGGGGGCCTTTGTGGAGTGAAAGCCCATGTCAGGGTAACACTCTACAAATCTTCAAGTGAGTCTAATCTTTCTTTTCAGTAGCCCAGCTGCTGGACAACGAGATTACAATAGGGATTGACCTTCCATGGTCCTTCCCTGCCCACAGAGTGTGCCATTTCCACAGGGGACATGGGGCACAAAGTAGTGACTCTACCCACGGGTGTGGAATGGATCTTCAGCAGCCTGCACCCGTAGCACTGGGCAAGCATAGGGTTGCCTCATTACTTAACAGAAAGTCACATGCTTGAGACCGCAGGCCTCTCCTTGAGTTTCCTGCCTCCCCTCTCTCTTCCTTGGCAGAGTTCCTCTCCTGCTCTCTCTGAACTCAAGCCTGTCCATCATCCTCGCTCCTGATCATCCAATTTGTTTGCTCGCTAGGCAGGTTCCTTCCTTAAATTTCTTGCCCAGTAGAAACTTTCTCCTTTGTTTCCCTGAGTTGCTTCAAAGCCCCACTTGCCCCCATGAGGCCCCTTTGTGTCTCTGCTCCTCCCACCAACCATCTCCACCCTCTCACCTTCCCAGCTCTTAACGTTGCCGAGTCTCTCTGCTAAATCCCAGTAACACTCACCACCTTCCTGGCTCTCCCATCCTGTGTGCCAACTGGGAACAACCAGCTATAAAGAGTTTATTGGACTGAAAAATGAGTGAATGTTCTCATGCACTCTTTCCCACCTCAGCAAAGCTTTTCAGAGTCACATTTCCAATGGAATCTAAATCTGGAAGGATTTAGATCCACTGAAAAATGCTAAACCTGCAGCGTTTGGCAGTGTTTGAAATTTTTGGCAGTCCCTGCCACGTCTGATGTTACGAACACTGTTTATAGATGCCTGGAAAGAAGCCTTTAATGCTTGTATTGTGTTTTAACTTGCTTTCCTTTGGAGGCAGGGAATTGTCAAGTAAGTATTCACAGCACTCTGGAAAAGCCCAGGTGTTGGATGAGCATCCAGTAATAAACGTTCATGCCGAATCCACAAGCGTGAAGGGTCTATACTTACAATCCGCTGAATTTGCCACAATGCAGGTTTCTTCCTTTTCCACCTCTCATCTTCAGTTTGAAGCAATACAGCTGTAAACATATGCTTGCGAAATAAGAAAGAAACATTCTGAGATTGCTTTACTTTTCAGTTTTTAACTGAAAATCAAGGTGAAAAAAGCATCGGATTGCCTCTATGTGTCTATATATACAATCTCGTGTATATATAAATACACAGTGTTTGTGCTTGTATGCATACTCTATAGACACTGTATAATATGTGACATATTATACAACCTCTGTGTACCCTGAAAACGAGCCCTGCGTTTAATCTCAAATTCTGCCTTATGAACCATGCTACGGTCCTGGTGTCCTCTTGCTCCCATCTCAGACCTTGGCTTGCTTTTGTCATACACTTACACATTCTTAGGTGAAAGAAGAAACCCACGTATTTCATTTGGAAGTCCCACTAAAACAGAAGAAAGAGCAGATGTCCTGGGAAGCGATAATTAACGTGGAGGAAGTGTCTAGTTGTGAGAACTGGCATGCCCCGGCCTCCCGGGTTTGCTCAATTTGGCGGCGCTGACGTCAGCCGGGGGTGTCGTTTTGCAGAGATGTGCTCTCTACCCATTGTTCGGTGGTGATTATCATACCATTTGGTCCAATTATCACTTATGATTACATAACATGTTTTGATTGAAGAGTTTCTGAGAAAATAAAGGTACCTTGTTTTTCCCCAGCACAAAAATGCAAGCTGCTCCAGCAGGCAAGCTGCTCTACCAAGAAACACTGGGAATTATTAGGCTAAATTATGAGTCGAACTTGATTCAGAAACAAAGCATCCATTGTGCGTAACTCCCAGCGACATCCAGGAGGATGTGATTGTTTTTCTGACAAGTTTCTCCCCAGCACACTCTAAAATAAGCAGAGTCCCCAGGCACATTCGCAGAGTCGCAGAGAGTGTGCGGGAAGCATTGACAAGGCTTCCTTTTTTCTCCCTATTCTGTAGGCGCTTTAGTGCAGAGTTTGCCCAGAGACGCCAGGGTATGAGCTTTCTGAATTTGTAGACTGGTGCACTCTTTCATTTCTGTTTTAGTTCTTTGCTGGCATGCTCGGGAAGCATGGTTTGTGCCACACAGGAATGTCTGTTCACTTGGAAAATGCTTGTGCATGAATGAGGTGGTTGCTAATGCAGCTCTAAACTGTACTAAGTTTCTCACTTGGCTTTATTTGCTGCTTACAAGGGGATCAAGGTAATCCTTTCTCTTTGCATAACCCAAGAGCAATAGCTAATGGATTTGGAACATGCAGCGGGAGCTGGTACAGTCTCCCTGCCATCCCCAGTTTCCTGAACTCTGAGAAGGCCGATTTAAGGGAACCCTGTGTTACAAAAAATTGGCCTACTCATAGAAGAGTCCATGAGGGCTTACCCATTATAAAAATCTCTTAGTTAAATTTGGAGGCCCAGATCTCCCAAACTGAGAAGGGAAAAGCAACCTTTGGTATGATGGTAGCTCTTGAACTCGGACCATAACCCTGAGGGATGGGGCACAGTGGGGTTCTCTCTGTCTTCATCCCGTTGCTTCCTCCTTTCCTTTCTGTGTAGTGAGAATAACCTGGGCACTTGGCCATCAGGGCCCATTCCCCAGCCTGGCTTGTAAGTCCCACTTCACCGCATGCCGTGATCTTTGACTACCTAATTCTGAACAGCATTGACACATCCCCGTCTGAAAAATTGCCAGTGGGTTCAGGAAGCGCAGCATCTTCCCTCTCATGCTTGGGGTCCTCTTTAGTTTTAAAAGCAGCCCCTCTGGCTCATGTGTTCTTCCTGGCTCCCAGGAGGAGGGGACCGATCCCTGACTACGATGCCTTAGGTATGGGGAAGCCCACCCCAGTGCCTGTGAATCCAGGTCTCATCATGCAGGACCCTTAATATCAGAAGCTACTTTTCTTGGTGCTGGGGGCACAGGCAAGGGAGGGGGCAGGAAAGAAGAAACCCAGATGGAAGGTCCTCTGAGTCGGGGAGAAGAGAGAGAGCAGCCTGGCACTGGCCTTAGCTGACCACACTGAGAAGCAACTTCGCTGCCTTTTGCTCAACACTGTGCTTCTTCTGGTCACTCTCTGTTCCAGACCACCTGTTAGCAGAGCAGCTCCCCAGCCTGAGAAACTCCAGAAGAACAATATCACCAAAAAAAAGAAACTGGTTGAGGTGAGGAGATTAAGCTATTTTGCTTTTAATCTGATGTTGGTGTTCTAAGACCTGCCTGGTGGACATCACCATCTGCCTGCCCCACAGATACCTTCCAGTGAACCCGAACGGATCCAATTACTCTCTCTTGTCCCCTTTCCCTTCTACATAGCATTGTGTCCCCCATCCCAGTAACCAGAATCACATCGACCGCATCACATTCCCTCAGCCATGGCCCTGGGTCCTATCAGTACTAGCTCAAAAATGTCCCATGTCCTTCAAACCTGGCTCCTTTTCCCTCTACCTAGTACCACTCAGGGAGAACGAGAGCTTAGTCACTCTCTAATGTTGCCTGAGCACTCCCCGTGTGCCAGGTGCCATGCTACATACTTCCCAAGGAGTGTTTCATACATTCCTCACCTGTGAGGTAGGAACTATTATTGTTTCCATTTTACAGATGAAGACACTGTAGCTGAGAGAAGTTAAATGACTTGTTGGGTGCCACTCCCAAAATCACCAAGCTTGTAAGTGGAAAGGGATTTGAACTCAGTTGTTAAGACATGAGGATTATAGCTCCAGTGAACCCAGTGTTTTCTGAGACAGGCTTCCTAACTGTTGTTTTGGCCTTCGCTCTCATCTCCCTCTCAGACACATGCCGGGCTGCCCGCGAAGTTAGCCCTTTAAAATATAACTCTTCCCGCCTCACCTCAGCTTTAAGACCCAGGAGATTTCCACATTGCCGATGGGATCCAAGTTTACGGTTTCAAAATCTTACCCAGGAGCCACCTTCCAAGCTCATCACCTGAGATTCTCTACCACAACTCAAACCTCCAGCCCCAAACCCATTACTCAGTGTTCTCTGAAGCTGCCTTGGACTTTCAAGCCCCTGTGTTTTCATTCCTTCCCTTTAGAATCCTCCTCCTCTTCCCTCCCCACACCCTGGTCTTTCCAAGCCCTTTCCTCGCATCTCCTCTGTGCAGTCTTCCCCGATGCTCCTCACCCTAAACCCTTCTGCACACTCCCCACACCTCCCCTCCTCCACAGCCCTTGTCACACACTACACTGCCATTATTTCTCACTCACCTGTCTCCCTACTACACTCTGAACTCACTGAAGCCAGAAAAATCCATCTGAAAATTTTGTCTTGGAAAAGGGATCAATGAGGAGATTTATCATGGAATATAGCACAGATCAGGAAATGCCACTGAGCTTCAGGAGAGACCGGATCCAGGAGCTGAAAAGCCACCATGCCAAGATGGTGCCTTTTTCTGCCCAGCAGGGCTTTGCATGTGTCTGATGTATTCTTCTCTTTTTCTACGGACTTTCTGAACTACTTTGGTAGACTAAAGGGTGCTACCCAGCACCTGAGTTTACATCCCCTCAGTTAATTAAACAGCCAAGCCTACCAGTGTCCTCTATTCTAAATTCCCAGGAGAAACCATCTGATTGGCCCAGCTTGAGTCACTTGGCCACCAGGACTGGGGGTCACATATTACACAGTTTCTGGGAAACACATGGGGGTGAGAGATGAGGGGTAGGGTAGACTGAGGGGTGGGCAGACACTCATTAAGTTGAAAGGCGGAGAAGGGCTTTCTAGCTGAGAAAGATAAAAAAAGCAAAATCATAAAGGTAGGAAAGCTCATGATATGTGGGCTCAGTAGACATGTCAGCTTGACCGAGGGGTACAGGAGATGTCGAGTTGGGGCTGATTGTGCCCACTCAAGGAGTTGGGGCTTTATCCCATAAGCAGTGAAAGTCAGTGCATGTTTTTGAGTGAGGAAGTGTTGTCGTGGTTTAGGAGAGTTAATCTGATATTTGCAATCGGTGAGCTTTGGAGAGAGAAAAGACTAGAATCAGGAACCTAGAGAAAAGGGACCCACATCTTCTTAATCTTGCGTCTCACCAACCAGAACAGTCCTGGCACAGAGGAACTGCCAATTATACACGTGTCAAATCGAATTAAGAACTGTTATGATCTGAATCAGCCACTGTTCTTTGTCATGGAAGACAAGACCAGAAGAAGAGAAAGACTGTAAACCCAGAACAGTATCTAGTTGTGGAAAAAAAATGCAAATTGTGTAGAAACTTTGTAGGGCAAGCACCAAGCCACAGAGCATGGCGTTTGCCTGAACATTCTGCTCTGCTGATCCCAGCTGCATTTGTGGGAATCAGAGCAAATCTCGGAGGCACCATTCAGCTCACCTAAAGAGCGCCTGCCAAGGCACACGTAGAAAGTGTCTAGACAACCTTGATAGGGCATCAAATCCATAAATCTTGGCTCACCTGAGGAGCCAGGAAGCAAATCTAATTTATTTAGAAAACTCACTGTAATTCTATGTGTTAGCCTGTCCCCTAGAGTTTCAGGGAACTAAAGAAAGGGCTACATTTTATCGTCATCAAGAAACAAAATGTTTTTAGCAAGTGGTTCATTGTCTCACCAGCCATGCGGTTCCCATGAGATCCCTGGCTGCTCCCGCAGTGCGGGTCTGTTCCTCTGCTCTTGCTTCTTCCTCTAAGGGCCGCTTCCGTCTTTGTGTGGGAATGTAGGAGCTGGCTCTCGACCACGTGTTCGGCTACAGAGGCTTCGACTGTCGCAATAACCTGCATTACCTGAATGACGGCGCCGACATCATCTTCCACACAGCAGCGGCTGGCGTTGTTCAGAACCTGTCCACAGGTACCTCGAACAGAGAAACCTCCGTCTGAAAACAGGCTTTTATCTTAGCCCTTTTATGTGGTTTCCCGCTGTTTAGGGGAAGCTTAAGCATTCTCTTCCTTTTAAAAGAGCCATTCCACTCAATTCCAGGCTAGTATCATTTAGTCCTAGAAAATGCTCAGGCCACATTCAGAGTCAAAGCCCTCTTTGTCTCTGACCTTCACCCAGCCGGGTTGTGTAGGCCCTGAAAGGGAGGTGTCCATGTTTCCATCAGCTCCTCAGAGGCTGAGAGGGATGGAGAGAAGATCAGAGAAAATCCTTATAGACAGTAACCAAAAACATGCATGGGGGAGCTGTTCTCCTTAATTATTAACAGTGACCAATTGTTCAGCAGCTCACATTTTCAAGTTTTGTTTGTTTTGACTATTTACCTAGATTTACAGTGAGAATGAGAACAATTAAACAATAAACAAAAATACCTAAAATGTTTCTTAACTATAGGATGACTCTTAAATTAAAAAATAGTTTAGTTTAAAAAGAAACACTTCAAGCAAAAAGGATTCAGAAATTAACAGACGTATCTTTACCACCAGATCTAAATATGTTAACATTTTTTTTTTAAGTCAACAGCACTGCCTCCTTTTTTATTTTTTCCTCCACAAAGCCCCAGTACATAGTTGTATATTTTAGTTGTAAGTCCTTCTAGTTCTTCTATGTGAGCCACCACCACAGCATGGCTACTGACAGACCAGTAGTGTGGTTCTGCATCCAGGAACTGAACCCAGGCTGCCAAAGTGGATCATGCTGAACTTAAACCACTAGGCCATCAGGGCTGGCTCTAAATATGTTAATGTTTTGCATGATTTGCTTCATATCGTAAAACAAACCTTTTTTTTCCCCCCAAATTTTATACTCCTTCTCAATTCTGTGCAGTTGTTAATACATAGATTTTTAGACAGTGAAATCACTGGGCAACACAATGATTTGTCTTTTGGAGGGAGGAAGACCTTGAAATTTTCTATACAATTTCTTAATGTTTTAGCCACATGTTATCAGTTTAGTAGCAGTGTGCTATCTCCGTGTATATCAATGCCATTGTTCACCTCTCTGTTCTTGTGCATTTGGGTGGGTTTATGGTGGCCACTTTGGAAGTCAGCAAACCCATTTGCTGTAGTAGATGATAACATTTTTCTTGTCCTTTTCCCACTTCCTGTGATGTGAGTCAAGTTAGGGCTTTAGGGAGTGAAGCCATGACCTGTGCCATCCAGGCACCCAAGTGGATTGGTACTTTAATAAGTAAAGACAATTAAAAGGGACTCCCTACCTGTTTTCCTACTTCAGTCTTCCCCTGACAATGAGTTAGTGGTGCCATGTTGCTCAGTAGAGTGCTAACTCCAGGTCCCCACCCCGCTCTGCCCAGAGGTGGACATTGAGAAGCCATCATTCCTGGGCCATGGGGAGGACGAAGCATTTTGGACTCTGGAAGCCTCTGCGCTTGGACTGTGCTCTGGACCCACACAGGACAGTGGGAAGGATTGAAGTAGAGCTTGTATGTATTAGATAACAGGCACCAGCTCTTCTCCCAAACTTGGAACAGAATGTGTAATGTAAAAACTCATCTCCCATCTCCCCAAGGATGATTCTGAAAGTGAGAATTTGGCATTTTAAGCTCTCACTTTTGCAAGGCATTTCCAAAGACTCCACACAAAGTTTTGGGGTTGCCCTGAGAGGTGTTTAGGTTCCCTGTTCACCCTCACATGTCTCTCTCCTAGGGAGCCAGAGCTTCTACCTGGAGCACACAGATGACATCCTCTGCCTCACCGTGAACCAGCACCCCAAGTACAGAAACGTGGTGGCCACCAGCCAGATAGGTAGGAGAGTCCTGCGGCAGCTGAGTTTCTCCCAGCTAAGCAGGGACATTGACTTCCTAGCAATTATTGGGAGAGAGAGCGGGTGGGTCGCTGACATCCATCCTTTCTCGTTGAAGTTGCTGGTGATTTTTTGAGCCCTGAATGTATCTGTGTCACTTGAGTTGATGCATCCAGTGATTGGTGATTCTGAGGGACCATAAAGTCAGACCAGAGCCTGATAAGCCAAATCAATGGATGGCCCCCATCCCTGTGGACTTGTGCGAATTTTTCAGACCCCAGGTGTCAAATGAAGAGCCCCATGTCTGAAGCCTGGTGGCTGTGCGCGGCAAGGGTAGATTGCAGTCTGTGTGCCTGGCTCTTCTGTACCCCAGAAAACTGCCAATGACAAATGTGAACCGATTCACATTTGTGAAAAGTTGTTTTTTTTTTTTACCTTTGTTGTTTCAAAGGCAGTTTTTACAAACATACTTTCTTGCTTGCTTTCATTGAAGCCATGTCCATTTTTAACTTTAATTTGGAATTTTCTGATGCTGGTGTTGAGTGCTTCACTGTTAGAAACATGACTTATTGCGGCTATTGTTTTTCCCTGATGCTTCCTCATTGCCATTGCCCACCCAATGCAGGTGATATGACGGAGACCCCAGGTAAGGCTGTTCCATCCGTGAGTAGTTTGAATCTGCACAGCAAAATCATGTCAATGTACCATGTTTGCTGCTTGTATCTAGCTGAATTGCAGATACAAATCATTGACCTCATCAGTTTCCTACATATAGACTCCTCCCCAAGTGTGTGTGTTGGACATAAATGCCCCTGGGTCTCGGCCTCTGAAAGTGCAACAGATGTTCCCTATTGTCTTCCACCTCTGGCCAGGTCAGGCTGTAGGTCTTTTACGCCCAGTCACTGTAAGGCCCCTAACACTTGTCTTAAAAAGGGTTTTAGGTGAACCTAAGTGTTGCGTTGGCTCCGCTGTCCTCCAGCCTGAATTCTTTGTCATGCCTCCCACATTCAGGAACAACACCTTCAATCCACATATGGGACGCCATGACCAAACACACCCTCTCCATGCTGCGGTGCTTCCACACGAAGGGGGTGAATTATATCAACTTCAGTGCAACCGGAAAGCTCCTGGTGTCAGTGGGCGTGGACCCTGAGCACACCATCACCGTCTGGCGTTGGCAGGAAGGTATTGAGGCTGGGCTTTCTGTCCCTCCGCGAGGCTTGCTTGTGGTGTGGGCTGGGCTCCAACCTAGGTGGGCCTCCCTCCAGAGCCCACCTAGGCACTGCCACCAGGTCAGCAGAAACCAGGCTCCTGGGATCCTAGAGAAGCTTCTCATCAGATGCCGCTGTATCTTGGACGCCATGGTCTGGAGAGTGCTGGCCAGGGGAGTCCTGAGCTGGTTAGTGAAGGGTGGCAGGCTTCCTCCTCATACAGATGGCAGCAGCCTCCTTCATTTCTGTCCTAACAACCTTCCTACCCAAGCTTCCTTGTCTTCGGCGCTCCTTCTGGTGACCCCTGGATCCTGAGGCAGCCTTGTCAGCTTCCTTGCCTTATTACAGGAACTGGGACAGGCTTTTACCACCAGAGTCTCAGAAACACATTTTTTTTTAAACATTTTAACTTTTTTGAAATGGCGTTCATCTTATGATCAAGAATATTTAATTCAGCAGGATTTCTTTCTTGCCCTCCCCCAGCACACGCTCAAACACAGAGGCTGCTACTAAATTTATGGTCATCTTAGATTCAAAGATGTGCAATATTGAGTATATTCTCAGGTTGGCAAAAGCAGATCCAATTAGTGAGGACATTAATGAGGTCTGTCTCCAGCCAGGCAGCCTGTATCTGGGGCACGCTGAGACAGGCACGCACAGGGGTGGCACTTCTCCAATCCAGGGCTTCTAGAGTCCCATTATCTCAGCATCTTCCCATGGAGGGGGCGAGGAGAGGGGACTGTAGAGGGATGAGCACAGGGGGAGGAAAGTTCCAATCCCTCCTGAGCCCCTATATGAGAAAAAGATGTTGGGGACCTGCAGACTTTTATGATGAAACTCACTCATCCTAGTCCATCCATTTCTCATTTTCTTGTTCATCCGTATATTGTGTCCAAAAGGCCCCATAATCTATATCCTGGGGATCCAGATTCATTCTTCATGATGTCAAGTGGCCATCTGATTAAATAGACTCAGCCCCAGATGAAAAATTGAGTATCTTAATGATGGACTCATAGCACTTAAGAGTTGGAAGGACTAGAGAAGTCTTCCTGCTCAGTCACAATCCATCCCATTGAGAAATTTCTCCAGGTGCATTTCTGAGAGGCCAGTTTCCATCCTCTGCTTGGATACTTACAAGGATGCAGCTCATCACTCCACAAGGCAGCCTGCCCACTGTTGGAAAGCTCATAAACCCCTAGCCTATGTGAGGTAATTCATAATGCCGTAATGTCATAATGACTTTTTTCTGTGGTATTAACTCTACTCCCTGTGGTAGCCAAGATCAAGTCATTCCTAGTTCCTTGGAAGAAAGTTACCACATCAGTCCCCACACAGTATTGTCTTTTCAGGTCAGGTTCACTCTCCTCACTTCCCTCACCTGTCCCTTTGGGCAGTACCTCCTCTGGCCCTTCCCTAACACAGACTCTTGCTCACCTGGGACCCCTTCTTGATCTCCCGTTGGAGAATCGGTGGAGCCAGGGTTTATAAACACACTCCCAGGAAAAAGAGAAACCTTCTTTTGGTGACTTTCTCCCATTGTCTTTGTTGGAATCAGCGCTTGGGTCTGTAAGGAAGCCTTCTGAGCCAGTGACAATATCTAACGGCCTGTCACCAACCACCAACTCTTCTGAGTTGATTGTGTGTGATTTTTCTCTCATGTCTAGTCTTGCTTACAGATAAAGTGTTTTGAGGGAGGTTTATGTACTTTTTTGTTATCATTAGCATATTATTCCTTCCTTATTTGTTAAAGAGTTATTTTGTGGAACTCTTAGGGGTATGTGTGTCTACGTATATGTATGTGTGTGTGTGTGTGTGTAAGAATAAACAAAATAAAATGGAGTAAGAAAATGAGCTTATTATATGAAATTCATGTTGTCAGGTACAAGATACTTGTATGAAATTTGTTCTGAGTAGAAGCCAATGCATAGAGGGAGACAGGCATCTCCACAATTAGAAGGGTCCATGAGATTAAAACAAGGAGAAAACAAACAGTGGCTTAGAGGAAATGTGCCTCTTAATGTTGCTTTATTTTGCATTTCCCCCATAACTACCAGGATTCATCCTCTTGCCATCTCTTTATTGTCTGCTTGTGTTGCTTCTTCTGGAATTCAACTGTGCAAATCCTTTTTCTGCTGAGTGTGGGAGGATTGCTTGTCTTATTATTTGTAGTTCCTCACTGATTATTAATATTAATTCTTTGTCTCTTTAAGCGTTACGAATGTTTTCTCCCAGTCTTTTGTCTTTTTTTTTTTAAAGGTTGGCACCGGAGCTAACATCTGTTGCCAATCTTTCTCTTTTTTTCTCTTCTTCTTCTCCCCAAAGCCCCACAGTACATAGTTGTATATTCTAGGTGTAGGGCCTTCTGGTTGTGGCATGTAGGATGCCACCTCAGCGTGGCCTGATGAGCAGTGCCATGTCTGTGCCCAGGATCCGAACCAGCAAAACCCTGGGCTGCCGAGGTGGAGCGGGCGAACTTAACCACTCGGCCACCGGGCCGGCCCCCTTTTGTTTGTCTTTTAACTTAGTTTATGGTATCCTTGGGACTACGGGTTTAAAATATCTGAGCCCTAGGTAGTGAGGTAGCTGTTACAGAGTCAAGCATTCCATCTGCAGAGAGAGAATTACACCGTGAGAGGTAACTTGCAGGTGTCCCCAGCCATTCCTGGGAAGGGATTCCAGTGGGGATGTCTGAGGGCTGGCTGCAGGCCCGACTATGTTAAGACCCCACCACCGCCACTCTACCAGAAAGCCCTATAACAACACATAAGTAAATGTAAGTGGCAAGGAAGAGGGGAAGGAAAAACTACATGTGAGTCAATAAATAATATAGAGAAAGGTGATGATTAAGAAGAAATTGGAACTAAAACATTAAGAGCAAGTTAAAAGAAAATGGAAAGGAAAGGTAATAGAAGTTGAAAGTAAGTTAAGAATTCAAGGGCTGAAAAATAATGATGAGATAAAAATAGATGAGGTTTAAAATACAGATAAAAACAGGGGGCTGGCCTGGGGCTATAGCAATTAAGTTCATGTGCTCTGCTTCAGCGACCTGGGGTTCACAGGTTCAGATCCTGGGCATGGACCTAGCGTGTGTGGCATGCTAGGACCAAGCCACGCTGGGCATCCCACATAAAATTGAGGAGGATTGGCACAGATGTTAGCTCAGGGCCAATCTTCCTCATCAAAAAGAGGAAGATTGACAACAGATGTTAGCTCAGGCCAATCTTCCTCACAAAAAACACCAAAGAAACAGATAAAAGGCTAGGAAATAAGAGACTTTAAAAGGAGCTAAAAGAATAATAACAACAGTTCACGCTTACAGGGCCTCGAGCTCTGGTCTAAGTCTCCGCTTGCATCAATTCTTTTACTTCTCACAACACCTTCGAGAGTGAGGACTGTTATTGTCCCCAGTTTACAGATGAGGAAGCTGAGGCACAGGGAAGGAAAATAACTTTTCCAGTGTTGTTCTACAAATAAATGGTGGAGTTGGGATTTGATTAAGACAAAGGTTAAATAAAACTCAGGAGAAAAATCAAAAACATAAATAAATGGGGTTGAGAAAAAAACTAGAAATTAAATATAAAATATAAAATTTTAGGGGCCGGCCCAGTGGTGCAGCGGTTAAGTGCGCACATTCTGCTTTGGCGGCCCAGGGTTCGCCAGTTCGGATCCCAGGTGAGGACATGGCACTGCTTGGCAAGCCATGGCTGTGGCAGGCGTCCCACATATAAAGTGGAGGAAGGTGGGCCCGGATGTTAGCACAGAGCCAGTCTTCCTCAGCAAAAAGAGGAGGATTGGCAGCAGATGTTAGCTTAGGGCTAATCTTCCTCAAAAAAAAAAAGTAAAAATTTTAAACCTGAAAACCATGAAAGAAAAGGAATATGGGGATCCTTTTTTTTCTTCTTTTTTTAAAGAAAACAGAGAATCTTGGGGAGAAACAAAAACTGCCTAAAGGAGTGTGAGTCTCTAGGGACACTCTAGGGGAGGATCTGGCTTCCTGTGGGGGTGAATCCTGAGGTGATGTTGGAGACAGGAGGAGGTGACGTGGGGGATGCCTTTAAGCCCTTTTCTCATATGCGGAAGCTTCTGTCTCCTGGGCCATCCTTTTCTGCTGCGTTCTCAGATGCCTGGATGCTTGTGGGGATTGGGTGGAGTGGGCTGGGGGGTCATGTTAGCAGTACCTGCTGCTCTGGAAATTTCCCAGACACAGCCTCTCTTGCTCACCTTGGGAGCAGTGTCTGAAGGGGGGTGGGTGCTGTTGAAGAAGAAAGAACACTGAGGCGTGCCCTGGCCTTGCTGGGATGAGAGCCGTCCAGGGCTGCAGCTCCATGCCTGGCACCCCTGGAAGTTGGGAAGGCCCACCTCACTGGACTCTCATCCACACAGGTGCCAAGGTTGCCAGCCGAGGGGGTCACCTGGAACGCATATTTGTGGTGGAATTTCGTCCCGACTCAGACACGCAGTTTGTGTCTGTTGGGGTCAAACATATGAAGTTCTGGACCCTGGCAGGCAGCGCCCTGCTTTACAAGAAAGGGGTCATCGGGTCCATGGAGGCTGCCAAGATGCAGACGATGCTCTCCGTGGCCTTCGGTGCTGTGAGTTCCAGCAGTTCACTGCTGAGAGGGCAGCCTGAACCCCTGGGCGCAAGGGGAGGGGGAGCAGTATGGCCAAGAAGTTGCAAATGAGAAAGCCATTTCAACATTATCTCTTTTATTGGCTTATTTGCAACCACTATTCCCTTTCCATAGCACAGACGGGTGAGTTGACTATATTTTTCCCCATTTTGTTGCCCTCAAACATTAATCAGAAAAGGCAGGGCCCCCACTCAGGGCAAGAGGTTCGTCATTCTAGAGGCAGACTGACTTGCAAGCCTGTCAGACCTGGGTTAGATAGCTGAGAGGAGGTGGGCATAGTCTCCACCACTGGACAGCATCCCTTTCCCTCCCAGGCCCTAGTGTGCCACAACTGACACGCTTACATGGGCTGTCAGGTGTCCCCAGCCAATGCAAGCACCCCAGGGACATTCTGGAACACGGCCAACTCTTGGTCCTCCAGGGGTGGATTTATCCCTTCATAGATAAGCCCAGGAAAGTTTCCTCTCAGGCTGGAGTTCACCCCTTACCCTGGGGCCCAGAGAATGGAAATTCACTTCAATGCAGAGCCACACTCAGTGGGGATGTTGGATGCCCCAAACTAGCTCAACAGAGTGACTGTTAAAGCCGGGTGATTTCCTTATTATATGCTCTTTGTGGTTTTCTGCAAATTCTTTTGCCTTTCCTTACCACAGAGGGTCAATTTGAGCACATGTTCACATTTCTCTAGCTCTAGTTCCTTAACAGAGGAGCCAGTGGCTGGGAGGGGACCCTCCTGAGAGCGGCTGTGAGTGTCCTGGTGTGGAAGGTGTCCCTTTGTTTACAGAACAACCTCACTTTCACGGGTGCCATCAATGGAGACGTCTACGTGTGGAAGGACCACTTCCTCATCCGACTGGTGGCCAAGGCGCACACAGGCCCCGTCTTCACCATGTACACGACCCTTCGGGATGGACTCATAGTGACCGGCGGAAAAGAGCGGCCGTAAGCCGAAGTTCCTCTGGGAACAACTGGTCTTTTTTTATTGTCTTGGGAGAAGCCAACAGAAGCATCTCCAACTTGGAGAAAATGCAGATTTTCATTGTCCTATCTTTTCTGCATTGGGGAGCTCAGTCTACCATCTCTCCAAGAGGGCCCTAGGTCAGAGCCTTCAGAAGTAAGAGTGAGAGAAGGAGAGAGCGGTGTCTTGAATAGACCGGAGTGACTTTGCGGTTCCTAAAGTGTTATCACAGTAGCTCTTCGGGAGAAGGGAGGAAGGAGAAGTGAGAAGAGGGGGCAGGGAAGATGTGAAAATGAAACAGAAAAACAGGAGAAACATGTCTCTTAGTATTTGATCTAATAAAAACACAGTTGGATTTTCTAGATTACAGTTCTCTTTCCTTCCAAGATCATGGCATTTGAAGGCATTTTAGGAAATCTGCAAGTTCAAAGGGTTCTGATTGCTCATCAGCAGAGCCTAAGAAAGGGGTCACCCTGGAGGGTCTGTCCTGCTGGGAGCCCAGGGTGGCTGTGCCCTTGATGAGGGGAAAGCAAGAGAGGGGAGTAGAGGGTCGTGGGGAGTTTTTAGAATGAGGGCTAACATGCTAAGTTCCTTTTGATCTGTTTTAGGACCAAAGAAGGAGGTGCTGTAAAATTGTGGGACCAGGAAATGAAGCGCTGCCGGGCCTTCCAGCTGGAGACGGGACAGCTGGTGGAGTGCGTGCGCTCCGTGTGCCGCGGCAAAGTGAGCGCACCTGGGCTGGTCCTCCCCGAGCTACCCCCTGGGGCTGGGCCAGGAAGGAGGAAGGGGTCCAAGTGAGAGTTAGTTCAGCACCTTCCCAGTCAAGCACTTGCCCTGTGCTGGTTCGTTGAATCCTTAAAATAAGCCTCCAAGGTATGACTTATACTGCAGTGGGAGGTAGCTTAGCATAGTCAGACAGACCTGGGTGCAAATGTGACTCACCCAGTAGAACTGGCCGTGTGACCTTGGATGTGTTGCTTAACCTTTCTGTGTCTAGCACACGGGTTGTTGTCAGGATCACATGCGTTATACATGCACAGTGCCTTTCATTATGCCTGGCACGCAGCCACATTCAGTAGATGTTAACTACTATTATTATAAATAATAGTATTATAGGCACAGAGATCTTAAATAATTTGCCCATGCCCAAGGTCACATGGCCAGTAAAGGGAAAGTGATGGCCACCAAACTATCTGACTCAGAGCCATTGGTTTTCAAGTCACACCTTGGCCAAATATCAAAAACAACTGTGGGGGGGCTGGCCCCGTGGCCAAGTGGTTAAGTTCGTGCGCTCTGCTGCAGGCGGCCCGGTGTTTCGTTGGTTCAAATCCTGGGCGTGGACATGGCACTGCTCATCAAACCACGCTGAGGCGGCGTCCCACATGCCACAACTAGAAGCACCCACAACGAAGAATACACAACTATGTACCGGGGGGCTTTGGGGAGAAAAAGGAAAAAAAAAAATCTTTAAAAAAAAACAACTGTGGGTGCTAGCCCTGATGGCCTATCGGTTAAAGTTTGGCACGATTGGCTTTGGCGGTCCCTGCTGTGGAAGCACACCTCTTGTTTGTCAGTAGCCATGCTGTGGCGGCATCCCACACAGAAGAACTAGAAGGACTTAGAACTAGGAAACACAACTAGTACTTGGGCTTTGGGGAGGGAAAAACAAAACACAACAAAACAAACTGTGGGGTTTTTAAATGTGGTTGTCCAGGCTTCTACCCAGAGCTGCCAAATCAGAATCTCAGGGGTGAGGCTTTGATTTGTGTGTTTTCCATTTTTTTCTTTTTTTCTCCTTTTGAAAATTTCTTGGGAGATTCTGATGCACTTGAAAACAAATCTCTTAACCTCCATTTAATATCTTGTGTGTATATTTTTGAATTGCTAGCATTCTAAGAATTTGCCTTCTGGATGTTCTCCATAAAAAAGGCAAACCTGACTTGGAGTCCACATAATTCAAAATTGGGAATTTTGTTTTAAATACCTAAATGGCAATGGTCTGGAAGGATAATTAGACATATGGGAGATGAAGGCAGAACCAGGCCCAGAACCTGGAATCATCAGGAGATAGATTTTTTTGTTCAGTGTAAGGAAGAACTTAGGAAGAGTTTGAGCTGACCAAAAACAGAAATTGGCTGCCTTGCTCTGTAGTAAACTTGCAGTCATAGGAATGTTCTAGCAGAGACTAGATGATGGAGAACTCTGTACTAAAGCTCTCACCAGTAGAGGGAGAAAAGCCAGAGTGAGAAGGTAGAGGAAGTGCCTTAAGAATGGGCAGTTTAGTTGTTAAAAACAAAACACATCGTGCCTGTTCCTATGTTAATACCACTGCCAGCAAAGGCACTTTCACAAGTTGCTCTAATCATAGTTTTTTAAAAAAATTATTTTAAATTGTGGCAAAATATAGATAACATAAAATGTATCATTGTAACCTTTTTTTTCTTTTTTTTTGGTGAGGAAGATTGTTGCTGAGCTAACATCTGTGCCAATCTTCCTCTATTTTGTACATGGGATGCTGCCACAACCTGGCTTGATAAGCAGTGTGTAGGTCCATGCCCAGGATCTGAACCTGTGAACCCCAAGCTGCCAAAGCAGAGTGTGTGAACTTAACTTAACCACTACCAGCCCCCATTTTAACCATTTTTAAGTGTACAATTCATTAGTATTAGATACATTCACACTGTTGTACAACCATCACCACCATCCATCCCCAGAACGTTTTTCATCTTGTAGGAGGGAAACTCTGTATCTATTAAACAATAACTCCTCTTTCCATATCTCACAAACCCTTGGCAAACAACACTCTACTTTCTGTCTCTATGAATTTGGCTATTCTAGGTATTTCATATGAATGGGATCATACAGTGTTTGTCTTTTTTCCAATAATCTTTTGATTGCAACAGGGAAAAATTTTAGTGGGAACCAAAGATGGAGAAATAATTGAAGTTGGTGAAAAAAATGCTGCTTCCAACATCCTGATTGATGGACACATGGAAGGGGAGATCTGGGGCCTGGCCACACACCCCTCCAAGGACATCTTCATCTCTGCCAGTAACGATGGCACAGCCCGCATCTGGGACCTGGCTGACAAGGTGAGGGGCCGACTCTGCCCGGCTCAGATGCCCACAAGTGGGCCTCACAGCAGCAGGAGCCGGAGTGAGGCAAGGTTTGGCCAGCGTGAGGCCAGAGACAGGGGATGGAGCTGGACGAGAGATCAGCGGCAGTTCAGCAACTAGATTAGAGGACGTAGTAATGAAAGGAGTCCCATTCACACGCACCCAATCTATATATCTTTTAGCTGTATGCCCATCTATGAATATTTATAGTACAGGAATCATCTTAATTCAGAATGATTATTCTCTTGTGATGAAAGAACTCACAAAACCTAAAAAATAAAGAGACAAATCATGTCTTCCTGGATGGGAAGACTGAAAATGATCTAAAATGTCAGATGTTCCCAATGGGAACATTTCAATCAGAATCCCCACAAGGCTTCTCTTAGAGTTTGAAGAGACAATTTAAAAATTAAGTTAAAATAAAAATTCATCAGGAGTGAAAATATAAAATAGCGAGGGATAATCTGGGGAAAAAAAGATTGATGTTACCAAGCCTTACCTGATATTAAAATAGGTACTTCAGTTTTAATAATTAAAATACTTGGTTTCATTACAAAATGGCTAGTAAATGTTCCAGCCGTATTTTTAGTGTAAGGATCAAAGAACAGACATGCAAAACCCTAAATGTGGTTGTTATGCTCAAGTTAGTTTCTAATTATTTATTATGTTTATTGTTAACAACAGCTGTCATTTACTGATCTCCACCATCATTAATGCTTACAACAGCTGTGCAAGACCAATGTTAATATTGCTTCTTTACAAATGGGAGAACGGAGGAGTAACCTCCCCAAACGTACGCAGCCAGAGACAGAGCCAGGATTCAGGATTTGAAGTGACAGATGCCAAAGCTCAGACCCTTTCCCCTGAACAAGAGGTCAGCAGTCTATGGCTGGAGGCTCAAGTCTGGCCCACTGCCTGTTTCTGCAAATTCAGGCATGCTCTTTCGTTTATGTAGTATCTGTAGCTGCTTTTGTGCTACAATGGCAGGGCTGAGTGGTTGTGAGAGACCCTGTAGACTGCAAAGCCTAAAAATATTTACTACCAAACCATTTACAGAAAAAGTTTGCCAACCCTTGCCAACATGGAGGAGCATGTTGTCTCCCAAGCTGCTCTAATCGAACATGTTGCCCAGCCAGCTCCTCAGGGACAGTTACTGTAAGAAGCAAGAGGCTTGGAGGCGTGCAGGGGCAGCAGAGACAGCCTGCTGCTCTGGCCTGGGTGCACAACTCCTCCTGGAGACCAGCTGAGGTGGCCAAGGACTCAGGAGATATTACTTTGTATCAATGTAGAAGCTGCTAAACAAGGTGAACCTGGGCCACGCGGCCAGGTGTGCAGCCTACAGCCCTGACGGGGAGATGGTGGCCATTGGCATGAAGAATGGAGAGTTTGTCATCTTGTTGGTGAACAGCCTGAAAGTGTGGGGGAAGAAACGAGACCGGAAATCTGCTATCCAAGATATCAGGTACATGGCAGGTGGTCTGGGCAGGGAGGGTATTCTCCTTCCCAGTGGTCCTCATTCCAGAAGGGCCATGGCTGGAATGAAGAACTCAGTTGTGAGAAGGCCCCTTTCAATGAGCCAACTATGACAGGAGACCCTCTCACACATTCTTTCTCAGACATGTCTTTGCTAATTTCCATAAGAGTGTGGTAAAAACTTCTTGTAAAATGCCATTCTACAAAAGGCTACATATCCATTCCCTCCTTCCATGGGATTTGATCCAGAGGAATTGTTGAATTCCATAGAATGTAGGAGAAGCTAATGAAGTGCGATCTCATTGCCTTTGAGCTTGGGAGGCCTGTCCCAGAGCAGACCTCGTGCCTGACCCGCCCAAACAGCCCTCCTCATGGACCACTTGGATTGCTTTTTCTAGAATCAGCCCAGACAGCAGATTCTTAGCCGTTGGTTCTTCTGAACACACAGTTGACTTCTATGACCTCACTCAGGGCACGAGCCTGAATCGCATTGGCTACTGCAAAGATATCCCAAGCTTCGTCGTTCAGATGGATTTTTCCGCAGATGGCAAATACATCCAGGTAGGCTTCAGCTTTACTGATATCTGGGACAACCAAGAATAGGAATAGTAACAATGGCTTATTTGATTGAGTGCTTACTGTGTGCCAGCCAATGTGCTAATTTACTCTTCACAGGAACCCTGTAAGTACTGTTACTTTTCTCCTATTTTATAAATGAAGAAACAGAGACTTACAGAATTTAAGAAAGTTGAAGAAATAGCATTTGAAATAGTATTCTTCAGTAAGAAAAGCAGGAAGCACAAGCCCTGATTGTCTTTGATCCTCCTCTCACCAACCCCTGTCAGAGCTTCCTAATTCCTGGTTCTCTGCGGCTGCACCTAAGCCTGTGTCACTCATTATACTTACTCATTTCAATCCCAAATCCTACCAGGTAGTGTGACCCCTCCACACTTGGGACCTGGACTCCAGACAGTGGGCCTGGAGTGAGAGCTCATCACTGATTTCCTGGGGGGAACTGACAAGTGGGAAGGGATCGAGAGAGGTCCCACTCTTGGGACTTACAGCTGAAAACGGAACAACAATTTCTCCAGCACTCTGAACAAGTATTATCCATTTGTGAGCAGGCCTGGTGTTGGAGATTCACTGTGGAAGGAGAAATGGAAGGACACATCCATTCATCAAATATTCACTGAACCAGGCACTATGCTAGGCTTTTGGAAGGACAAAATAGGCCTGGTAGGGCTCCTGGAGCTTGCCCTGTAATGGAGAAGACAAGCATTAAACAGATAATTATGAAATATACATATTATTACAAACTGATTATGTGCCGAGAAGGAAAAATGCAGGCTGCTCCGGGAGCATTTAACAGGCGCTGAATTTAGATTCACTTCCTCTCCGCACAGTGATATTTAAGCTGAGGGCTGTGGGATGTGTAGGAGTCAGCCAACAAAGAGGGGCGGGAGCATCGTTCTAGGCCATCTGCGCGAAGGCCTTGATGTGGGAAAGATCTCAGCTCATTCCGTGAACAGCAGGAAACCTGGGGTGGCTGCAGATGTAGGCAGTGGCCATTTTCTGAAAAATGGTTGGTTTCCTCTAAAAGATCCCAGAGAAGCAAGGGTCAGGTCCTAGACGCTTCAAAAATCATCCCCATGAGCTGCTGTCTTTGAGAAAACTTGCCTTACCTCTGTGCCAAAAGATCTTGATTCTCTGAAAGCAGGGATTCCAAAACTTGAGTGGGCATCAGAATCACCTGGAGCCTTCTTTAAAACAGATTGCTGGGGGGACCAGCCCTGGGGCCGAGTGGTTAAAGTTCCACACGCTCTGCTTCTGTGGCCTGGGTTTGTGGGTTCAGATCCCGCGTGTGGACCTGCTCCATTCATCAGCCATGCTATGGAGGCATCCCACATCCAAAATTAAAAAGAGGAAGACTGGCACAGATGTTAGCTCAGGGCTAATCTTCCTCAAGCAAAAAGAGAGAGAAAAAAAAAGGAAGCTTGGCAATGGATGTTAGCTCAGGGGGGAGTCTTCCTTACCAGAAAAACCACCCACAAATTGCTGGGCCCCACCTGCAAAATGTGTGATTTGGTATGTCTGGGGTGGGGCCCAAGAATGTCTGTTTCCAACAAGTTTCCAGATGATGCTGATACTGCTGGTCAGGAACCACATTTAGGGAACCACTGCCTTAGAACTTTGGAAAATAGCGAAAAAACATATGGAAAAATGCCCTGCTCATGTCAACTTTGCCGTGGGCTGACCACAGACTTTGTAGCCTGTTCTGAACTTGGATTTTATGAAAAGTCCTGGGGATGCAGAGGCTGGGCTAGTGTTCTGGGAAACAGTACACCAAAAGGGGAGTCCTTTGGAATGCAAAGAAAGTTGATGGACATGGTTCCCTTCCACTTGCAGGTGTCAACAGGAGCCTACAAGCGCCAGGTGCATGAGGTCCCCCTGGGGAAGCAGGTAACAGAAGCCGTGGTCATTGAGAAGATCACCTGGGCCTCCTGGACAAGGTGACTGGAGGAAAAACAATTGAGGAAAAGGTCACAAGGGAGTCTCTTTTCCCAGGCTCAGCCTCTAAGTTTGTATATGTCCGGCAGCTGAAGGAGCCCAGAGATAGAGCAATCTTTTCTTTGGGGGGTGGGGACGGGAGGTTTTTCTTGGTACCAGTTTGGGCCACTGGCTTTGATCTGACTTGGGCTTTTGAAATGCAAAGTCCCTCTTTTTGCGTAATGCATCCTACAGCCCCCAACCCCATCCAGCAAGTTCAAAGGGAAACCATATCCCAGCTGTTAGCCAAGCCCAGGCGGAGTGCATTGTGAGGCCTCCAGTCACCAGTGGGGAGTGGCAAGGCTGGAACTGCCAGTGAGCAGGATGAGAGACAAGGCCTTGCCAATTCAAGGGAAAAGAGACCGCCAACTTGTGAGCTTGAAGGAGCCCCTTCTCTTCTCCCAAACATATATATATTCAGGAGGACTATAGGAAAGAGGAAGAGAATCAAGGATGGAGGTAACTTTTCTTTTGGAGGCGAAAGGGACTGGGGCAGAGGAGAACAGTAAGAGCTAGGACAGGCGTACAGAGAAAGGGACAGATGCTTTCAAGCGAGAAGAGCCACAAGACCACACTGAATTATGCAAAATACCCCTCTCTGCCTCTTCTCCCTGGGAGAGGATGCCTGACTGCAGGAAGCCTTCTCACACATCTCCTGCTAACGCCTCTTCCTGTTGTAACAGCATTCTGGGAGATGAAGTCATTGGCATCTGGCCGAGAAATGCAGACAAGGCTGATGTCAACTGCGCATGTGTGACCCATGCTGGCCTCAACATTGTCACAGGAGATGACTTTGGGCTGGTGAAGCTCTTTGATTTTCCATGCACAGAAAAATTTGTGAGTCTTCCTTAGAGTAAACTCCCTGCACGGCCACCAGGCTCTCTGTTCTTCTGCAGTGTGCGGAAGATAGTGGCCACATCTAGATGGCCATCTAGAATCGAGAATAAGAGGAATCTTGTTCCAGCCCCGTAGAGATTTGGCAACACCTAACCTTTTCATCTCCCTTGGAGAGGAATTCCTGGCAGCTGGGAGAAGGGAAGATGGAGGGTGGACAAAGTGGCCACAAGTGGAGCAAGAATGGGACAGGAAAGCCAGTGAAAGTCTGGCTGATGGAGATGTCCAGACCACATAGTAATCCCATGAATGAAGGAAGCTTCTGGGAGGAGGGGGTTTGAGTCCTGGAAGGTGGTCCTTGATTGTTGGCAGGAGCAGGGTCTCTTAGCTGTCTCCATTCACTTTGCTCACAGGCCAAACACAAGCGTTACTTTGGTCACTCGGCTCATGTGACGAACATCCGTTTCTCTCATGATGACAAGTATGTGGTCAGCACTGGAGGAGACGACTGCAGGTACCAACCTGATTAATCTGGCTCTGACTCCCTGGCCTTCACTCCCTCCCCCTCCACCTCAGGTGTCCCCTGGGTCAGCCCCGCCAGGGGAATGGAGAGGGCCTGAGGCAGGATAGTAAACAGGAAATTCAGTGAGTCCTAATGAGGACGAGGACTTTCCATGTATGAGGTATTCAGTCTCTGGTCATTCCCAACCCAAATCTTGATGGACCCGTGTCTCCACTAGAGCTGTCCTGAGATTGGTGGGAAGTCAAGGGCATGTGACAGCTCCTCTGAGCATTGCTGGGTGGAGAGACAGGTGGGTGAGAGGCTCAAGATGGCTGATTTCAGTAGGAGCTCTTGGACAGCCCACAAGGTCATTGCATATAATCAGGGGGTTAGAATGACCTTGATCCATGTCTTTTATCGCACCAGAATTCTTAAGATGGATGATTAATCCACAACCAAGACAGGTTTAAAAATACTAATATTGGGGCCGGCCCAGTGGCGTAGCAGTTAAGTTCGCATGGTCCACTTCTTGGCAGCCCGGGGTTCGCCGGTTCGGATCCCGGGTGCGGACATGGCACCGCTTGGCACGCCATGCTGTGGTAGGCATCCCACATATAAAGTAGAGGAAGATGGGCACGGATGTTAGCTCAGGGCCAGGCTTTCTCAGCAAAGAGAGGAGGACTGGCAGTAGTTAGCTCAGGGCTAATCTTCCTCAAATAAATAAATAATAAAAAAACAAAATACTAATAATGAGCCTCAGTCAACCCTGAGAAATAAGTAGGGCAAGTGTCACTCAGTTTTACACATGAGATCAGATGAGGGGTGATGCCATTAGGCCCAGTGCTAGTTAGTAGCAGAAGAACCTCAACCAGCTATTTGGATTCCCGAGACAGGGCTATTTTTGACTATAACTGCTGTTCAGTGTAAAACGGTCACATTGTTCTGTGAGACGTGACTGGTCCTCCGGTGTTTTGGAGCCCTACCAGCATGCTCCAGAGACATCAGCCTCTTCAGCATTTCCAGGAAGGCAGCTTTCTTCCGGCCCTCCACCAAGGGCATTTCTTATTTGGAGCATGGAGGAACAGGACACCATTCTAAGTCACTCAGCTTCTCCACGTCTAATGTAGCTGAAGGGCTTTATCACAATGTGAATATTGGTTTCTGTTCGGCCCAAGCAAAATTCTTGGGGGGATGAAGAAGAAATGCATGCATTCCAGGTACTTTTTAGTGCTCTGAGAGAGGTTGTGGAAAGGCACTAGAGAATTTCAATTCACTGCCTACCCAAAAGCATTGTGTAGAAAATGCCCCCGGAAGATGCTTTCTGGTGCCTGCCTGGGAGCACCCATCTTCAGTCTGCTGTGCCAACTGGCACTTAGAACCCTTGAGATAGGACTGATAGCAGCTCCCTGTGGAGTGTAAGCACCCATTCAAAGCAGCACCAGCTGAAGTGTGAACCGGCCAGCAATAAGAGACAAAGTGAGTTGGGCACCCAGTGCAGGAGATACGAGGTGACTTTTGGATACTGCAAAAGGCTTAGAAGTAACCATAAAAATGCAGGGCCCCTAGGCCTTTGTAGTCATGGGAGCACAGTGTGATCCTGGCTCTGTGCTAAACACTAGAGAGGGTTCTCCTACTCAAGTGGAGCCGATAAAGCCTTTTCAATAGTAATGAGAGAGAGAGTGTGAAGTCAAATTGCCAAAAGTCCTCACATTCAGCACGGACACTGAAAGAGCCAAACAAAACAAAAAACAAGAAACCTTTTTTTAAAAAAAGCAGTAAGACTGTTCATTGGTGGCAAGATCCCTGGTTTTTGCTTTTTTGAATCAAAATGTTCAATACCTCACCTGACCCAAGACCGTTTTTTGTCACTTGACAAAAAAGTATGATGTTCAGCCATGCAAAACATTTGGTCTGCTTTTTCAGTGTATTTGTGTGGCGATGTCTGTAAATGCCAGAAACCTCTTCCTTTATTGCTGCTGCTGCTACTACCCAGCAACTGCAGAGGCAGTGATGAGGCACCTCCTCCCCCCCGGCTGCTGGGAAATGCCTACAATGCTGCGGGCCGCACAAGCTGGAAGTGCGAGTGAGGTGGTGTGACTGCCCCCGTCATCTGGAATCTCCAAAACTGAGACCAAGGAAGGTCAGTTCTAACATGTTAAGACTGCTTCCCTATGTTCCCGAGACTACACACTATACATACTAACTACATTGACGAAAAATCCTGATAATGTAGCCCACTGACAAAATTTAAAGCCTGTTACCCTAACCAATATGTAGCTTTTCATTTGCATCGAAACTTTTACAAAAGATGTTTTGCTATGTTTCTATATACTTTAAAAATGTTCGTTTTTACAAATAAGTTGAACAAGACAGCTTAAGTTAGATGCACCGAAGTACCAGAAATATTGATAGCCTCTGTTCTCCACATTTAGCTTTCAAAACCAAATGAGCCACGTATGAACAAGTTGAGAAACTTAATTTTTTAAAGCTTCATTTGCAGAGTTTTATATTCATTAAGTGCCTTTGCAAGTTTCCCGTTGTGTGGGCTGTTGTCTCACCTCCCACAGATTATCTCTTTTCTACATATGGTGCTAACACCTCAACGCTGAGGACGGCTACAGACCCTGAGCAGATTCCTGGTCTGTCACCCATGTCATGTGTTTATGTCAAGGCTTCCTAAATGAAACACATCAGTTACCAACTTAGGAAATAGTGGCTATGGGAAGGTGAGCAGCAAAGAAACGTAAATTCAGGAGGGACGGGGTAGAATGGGTTTTCAATACGTTTAGTGCCAAACCCACAAAATCCAAAATAGAATTCAAATAAAATAAACCTCTACTACAACGTGGAAGTGAAAAAAGCTCAAGCTGGTCCAGGAAGATGAGCTGATTTATCTTGTTAAATTGAAAATGGTAATGAACGTGGTGACCTGAGGCTGCACTGGGTTTACCATTCCCAGAGTAGGGTTGGCTTGACCCCACGGATTTGCTTCAGGTGAACTATGTAGGTTAAGTCCAGATTTAAAAAAAAAAAAATTCTCTGCAAAACAAATTTCTTGGCTCAAGCAATATTTGATAAATCAAGATTATAAAACAAAATAATCTAGCTTAGAGTTCCTCAGAGTTGGTTGGTTGGATAAAAGAATGTGACTTGGAAAATAGTAACCGGAAGACATCCCTGAACCACCTCAATCACACTTTATACTCAGTCCACCACTGACCACAGTAGAGGGCTGACGACACACACTGAAGGGAAGGCTGGAGAGGGACTGGGGGCTCTGAGCATATATATGCCAATTAGTCCTTCTGGTTAGTGAATTAGAATTCTGGCTCTGAAGTACTGGCTATTTGCAGTTGTCAGTTTAGAGAAAAGGAGAAATGAAGCATTTTCAATTAAATAGATTAATATTCACCACAGAAGTGCTTCAGCATTCTAAATGGATTAGATCACTCATTAAGCTATTTTTATATGCCAATTTATTAATGCCTTACATTAATCCAATGATAGGTTGTTGGGCCCACAGTTAGAGTCCCTATGCAGTCCTAATTCTGTTTTCTGTAACCATGTGACTGGTGATGCTGAGTTGATAACCATGTCTGCCTATATTGTACCACTGACCTTTCATACTGACTGGATCTTGCATTGAAATAACCATGTGGAAGAACACTGAGTTGATCAATGATGATATGTACAACTATATTTAAAGAGCAATAGTGTCTATGTGTCAAGAAAACTTCTTAAATCTTATTTGTAAACAACATTTATATGGTATGAGTTTATGTTCATAAATCCTGCACTGTATTCCACTATATGTTAAGATATTGGTGCATGAATTTATTTTCAAAGTATGAAAAATACATAATTTAAAAACATTTTGGTATGTGTCAAATAAATTTGATTATGTAAACATGTCCTTTTGTTTTCAAAGTAAACACAGCTGCACCACGAGCTGAAACCCTTTCTAAAAGTACAAGCGTCCACCCACCGGTCAAAGCAAAGACTATCCTTTGTGTATACTTTTAATCTGCAGTTTCATGAAACCAAAATACCAAACATATTTTAAGTCTATAAGCTTTATTGATACTTTGCTTTTACAGTTCACAATGCATTCCACAGATTTAGTTCAGTACAGCTTAAACCACAATTGTATAAATCTTCATTTTATGATTTCTTGCATAACAATGTTTGATATTTGCAAACAACGTTTTTGGAAGCATTAGATTCAGTCCACAGAGTCAGAGTTTGTGACAAAATTAACTATAGCAAGTCTGTGCGATGCAGTCGACGTGAAGAGTTCTATGTGCATGGCGTCGGTTCACGTTGAAAACAGATGGTAGTGCACCTAGAAATATATTTTCTTTTTCTAGCTTATGTGCTTTGGAACTACACACGTACAACCAAAGACTCTCTGAAAGATCAAGCACTGTGGGGCAGCTGGAAGGTAAAGGTCTCTAAGCTTTGTGAAACACTATATATAGATATATATATAATCTATATTTACTTATATTGGCAATTAATATAACAGTAAAATTCACAATACACCTAGAACATACCAGAAAGGCAAGTTTTTTCACTTCTGCTTTAGTGGTATGATCTCGTCTAAACATTTCATTTCAGAAAATCTGCATCCAATCTACACAGACCATACACAGTGCACAAACTGTGAAAAGGGTTATTTTTTTCAGCTCCACTTTCTCTGCAATTCCCAAAATACAGCAAGACTACCTGTAACAAAATGTAATATACAGCTTTCTCAGATCTTTTTTTATTCACCAGTGCCTCATATAGGAAAAACAAATGATTACGGTTCAAATCCATACATAGCAGCTTACAATACTTAAGGTGATGAACACATGGCAGTCAAGACAGGTGATTTCTCCTCAGACACTGCATTGCTGAAAATAAAGATCTGTGAAACTGCAATGTCAAGGTTTCATTCTTCCCTGACCCCCCCATGTAATCAAATGAATATCCCCTTTAAAGATAAACTCCTATTGTTAATTATTTCAGGCTTTTTCATTCAGCTTTGCGCTTCAATCCAGGGATTTTTGCTTGAATTCTACAAATGAAAAGGAGGGGGAAAAGGTCAATGTAAATATTTTTATATTTTAAGTATTTTGTTTTCTGCTTCTTAAAATGCAATCCTTCAAGAACTACCTGTATACTACTCAGCTTATACAAGAAATGAAATCCTAAGGCTATCAAACTACAAGCTATAATTTTGCCACCTTGGCCTCACGAATTAGATGTAAACAAAGCCTTAAATACACATAATAAATATAGAAATTAAATGATTCAAATGTTAGAAAAAGTCTTTTAGCAACACTGATGTCACACTTTAGGTCTGACTGAGACTTGCTACTCACTATGCCTGTCATATGAACATAGTGCACTGTTCTCAAAGTCTGCTACACTTTATCCTTAGTAAAAGTTGCAGATTTTCAATACTTACTTAGCCATAGCATCTTTAACATTCTTATTTGCAAGTCCTAGATAATGATCTATCTGTGCCTGAAAGAGAAGTATAAAGGGGTTATTTGAAAATTACCATAGCTGAAGCATCTTATTAACATTAGCATCTACGTTCCAACAAAATAAAGGCTTACGGAACCACATTTCTCATTTTTATAAGGCTTTGGAAACTGGCACTGATATGTTTGGAAGTTCCATGTAATAGAGCGAGCTCTGTATTCTGAAATCTACAGTTAAGAAATTACCTGATGCCATAGATGCAGAGAAGGCATTTGACAAGATTCAACAGCCATTTATGATAAAAACTCTGAACAAAATGGGCATAGAAGGAAACTACCTCAACATAATAAAGGTCATATATGACAAACCCACAGCCAACATCATACTCAATGGGCAAAAACTGAATGCCATCCCCCTGAAAACAGGAATGAGACAAGGATGCCCTCTATCACCACTCTTATTTAACATAGTACCGGAGGTCCTGGCCAGAGCAATCAGAAAGAAAAAGGAATAAAAGGAATCCAAATAGGGAGGGAAGAAGTGAAACTCTCGCTGTTTGCAGACATGATCCTATATATATAGAAAACCCAAAAGAATCCATTGGAAAACTGTTAGAAGTAATCAATAACTACAGCAAAGTTGCAGGGTATAAAATCAATTTGCATAAATCAGTAGCATTTCTATACTCCAGTAATGAACCAACAGAAAAAGAACTCAAGAACAAAATACCATTCACAATCGCAACAAAAAGAATAAAATACCTTGGGGTAAATTTAACTAAGGAAGTGAAGGACCTATATAATGAAAATTACAAGGCCTTTCTGAGAGAATTGGATGACGACATAAGGAGATGGAAAGACATTCCATGTACATGGATTGGAAGAATAAACATAGTTAAAATGTCCCTTCTACCTAAAGCAATCTACAGATTCAACGCCATCCCAATCAGAATCCCAATGGCATTCTTTACAGAATTAGAACAAAGAATCCTAAATTCACAAAAGACCCCAAATTTCTAAAGCAATCCTGAGAAAAAAGAACAAAACAGGAGGCATCATAATCCCTGACTTCAAAACATACTACAAAGCTACAGTGATCAAAACAGCACGGTACTGGTACAAAAACAGGTGCACAGATCAAGGGAACAGAACTGAAAGCCCAGAAATAAAACCACACATCTATGGACAGCTTATCTTTGACAAAGGAACTGAGGGCATACAATGGAGAAAAGAAAGTCTTTTCAACACATGGTGCTGGGAAAACTGGAAAGCCACATGTAAAAGAATGAAAATTGACCATTCTTTTTCACCATTCACTAAAATAAACTCAAAATGGATCAAAGACCTAAAGGTGAGACCTGAAACCATAAGGCTTCTAGAAGAAAACGTAGGCAGTACACTCTTTGACATCAGTATTAAAAGGATCTTTTCGGACACCATGCCTTCTCAGAGAAGGGAAACAATAGAAAGAATAAACAAATGGGACTTCATCAGACTAAAAAGCTTCTTCAAGACAAATGAAAACAGGATTGAAACAAAAAAACAACCCACTAACTGGGAAAAAATATTTGCAAGTCATATATCTGACAAAGGCTTAATATCCATAATATATAAAGAACTCTCGCAACTAAACAACAAAACATCAAACAACTCAATCAAAAAATGGGCTGGAGACATGAACAGACATTTCTCCAAAGAGATAGTGATGGCCAATAGGCACATGAAAAGATGCTCATCATCGCTGATCATCAGGGAAATGCAAATCAAAACTACACTAAGATATCACCTTTCACCCGTTAGAATGACAAAAATATCTAAAACTAATAGTAACAAATGTTGGAGAGGTTGCGGAGAAAAAGGAACCCTCATACACTGCTGGTGGGAATGCAAACTGGTGCAGCCACTATGGAAAACAGTATGGAGATTCCTCAAAAAATTAAAAATAGAACTACCATACGATCCAGCCATCCCACTACTGGGTATTTATCCAAAGAGCTTGAAGTCAGCAATCCCAAAAGTCCTATGCACCCCAATGTTTATTGCAGCATTATTTACAATAGCCAAGACATGGAAGCAACCTAAGTGCCCAGCAACAGACGAATGGATAAAGAAGATGTGGTACATATATACAATGGAATACTGCTCAGCTGTAAAACAGAACAAAATCATTCCATTTGCAATAACATGGATGGACCTTGAGGGAATTATGTTAAGTGAAATAAGCCAGCGAGAGAAGGATAATCTGTGTATGACTCCACTCATATGAGGAATTTAAAATTATGGACTAAGAACAGTTTAGTGGATACCAGGGGAAAGGTGGGGTCAGGGGTGGGCACAAAGGGTGAAGTGGTGCACCTACAACATGACTGACAAACATTAATGTACAACTGAAATTTCACAAGATTGTAACCTATCATTAACTCAATAAAAAAATAAAAAAAGAAATTACCTGATGCCGTTCATAAATAACAGGAACGCTGAAGAGTGAAATCAGAGCTGAAAAAGGAAATACACAACCTTTAAAAAAGACTGTTAGGATTTAAGGAACAAACACTAAAAAGCCATCAAACTGGCAACACTCTTAGGATAGCCAGGTAGTATTCCTAATAAGCGAATAAATACACAAGGAGCATCTGCTGGTGGGGAGCCACTCCAGGGCAATGAATTAACCAAGGGAGGCTGCAGAAACCATTCCTGGCTTCAGATAACATCACAGAGACTACAAAATAAAGGCATCCCTGGTTGGTCAGTTTTATGAGTGCTCCAGCAGGTAAGGCCACCCTTGATCTGGTTTTACCACTGTTAGTTGGAGCAGTCTTCAGGAACTAAAACTAAAACTAAAAGTGTTTCAGTAAACAGTATCAGCAATTTATTTAAAGAGATCACAACCTCAAATGTACATCCTCTATTTTTCCTACAATGTAAGAATATTCTCCACTAAAATGTCCCTAAGTTTCTTGCTCACAATCTTTCTTTTTCTGCAATTTTTCATTTCAGCGGTTTTATAGACTTACCCAAAATCAGTAGTGTCAGACCATTGAACAAGGCACCAACATAGGTAAATACCCACATCAACACTGCAAACTATAAAAAAATAACATTAGCTTATTAAAAATGAAATTCAAGTTTCTTAATTAAGCTTTCAAATAAAAGCAACTCATCTAAATGCTAAGCTCCCAGAGGCATACTCCTCGGAGAGACTTGGTAAAGTAGTATGGATGCTTCAGTTCTAAGTCACCTGTCGCAATTCAGAATTTCAGAATCCCAATTAAAACAAGAGATTCGATCCACTTTCTCTGGACTACACTACCAAATAGTTTATTCTGTTTTCTCTGAGATCAGAAAACATACCAAAGGTATACCTTAGCTCTCTAGCATTGAACTTTTAAATGGGAAGACTGAAAGGTATGAGAATTAGCTATTAAAACTGATTTTCAAGTACTAACAAGTGCTTAAAGATATATATGAGCTGAATAATTCAGACATTAAAATCTCAGACATCTGAATAAGCAATAATGGAGCAGAGGGAACTTATTATCAGGGAGACTAGATTTCCAGTACCAAAAATATCACCTCTAGCATTTTATGAAGGATCAGAGGCACTGACTGCCCAGTGATACATGATTTCACAGTCATGGTTAACCCTGAGAATGAGGACTCCACATACTTTTATATCTATTAATAAAACTGACCATTATTCTTCCTTTGGCCACTGCCGCCTTTATTTACTTAACAAACAGTAATGTAGTCTCTATTATATTAGTGCTGGGCACTGTTTTAAATGCTTTACAAATATAAACTTATTTATTCCTCTTAACAACTGTATGAGGCAGGCACTATCCTCAGTACAGCAGATGCAGACACTAAAGGGAGAGGTTTAATAATTTGCCGGAAGTCAGATTTCAGTCCCCTCCAGGGGCTGGGGGACTGTGGTGAACTGACTAAACTCTCCTACTTTAGTAATCTTGGTCTCAAAATCTGGGATTTTTTTTAACCAAATCAGGCAGTTTGGAAAAGGCTTTGCTTCTAAAAAGTGATTTCATTTTGGGAAGTCCTTTATTTCCTCTCCATACTTTTAGTTTATTCATGAGATGGTTGCACAAGAGAATTTCAAAG